GCCAGCGTGACCTTGATGTCCGCCATGTAGTGCCATGAGCGCCTCCAAGAACTCCTCGTAGTAGAGACTTTCCCTCACCAGGTAGGCATTGATGTTCTCGTGCCTCTGGCGGCGGTAGTTGAAGTACTGCTGAAGCACCGCAGCTGTGTTAGGAAGCTGCTTGCGCACCAGCGGGGATTGTTCCAGCTTGTTCAAGAGATTCTGCACTCCGTGGGTGCCGGAGAGCTCTTCAAGGCTCCATGACATAGCCAAAAGCCTTGCTGGTCCCGTGAGGCGAGCGACAAGGCGAGCTCCAAGTAGGGACCTTTGGTTCTTCTTTGTTCCCATGGTGTACCAAAGAACTTCTCTCTTTGATACCGGCGCCATCCTCGAGGGTTGCCGTCCCAGGATGGGATGGTCTCAGCCACCTGCTTGCCCTCCATGGAAGAAAATGGCGAAGGCAAGGAAGAGAATCGCCTCTTTGAGCCAGGGTGCAAAATGAAGACCTCGTTGAGGTACAGGAAAAAGTAGCCCTGAACTTGTAATGGATGAAGTCCAGGAAAAAGCTATGGACGTAGTCCCAAAAGGAGAAAGTCCAGGATGTCAAAGTCCTAGATGTAGTGTCACTCAGCCCTGACGTCGCCGTTGATGGCCGACCGGAAAATAAGGATGCCCAATCACAGGCTCTCCCGAAGGTAGCACCACGTTGAGGCGTCCTCCTTCCTGGTCCCAACGTCCAACTCGCGTTGGTCGAGCTTGCCGAGGATCGTTATCGAAGATGTCCCAAAGAGCCGCTGCCGCCCGAAGGTGTTGTGCTCGTCGGTGAAGGTCCTCACCAGGTTCAGGCTCTGGATCAGGCTCCGGGCGATCCCGAGGTTGCGAAGCCCTCGCGTCCACCTGTGCGCGAAGCTGCGGGGTGAAGATGTCGTAGGGTCGCGGACCTCTAGGCGGGGATCGGGATCGGTCCCGTGCTGTCTCCTCCGTGGTTGAAGTCACCGTCCAAGGTGAAGACAACCTGGAAGGATCGCGCGATGTAGGCCGCCACGAAGCCCCAGGCAAAGCTCCGCTGCCAATGCAACGGGATGGGTCCTAAACAACGAGGGGACCCAACCGCAAAAACCTATGGCGCGCTCCACAAAGGAGCCGAAAGCACACGAAGGCCGTACCGAACGGCCGCGCACCTTTTTCGAGGCGAGCCGGGGCTCAAGCGCTGCGGGGTTCGGAGAACATGAGCACATGATTCAATCACATGCCATTCATGCTGTCGCAGGGAACCAATCAGCAGGGACGCTGCGGAAGGAGGGTTCCAGGTTCGTGGTGGAGACCAGCCTTGTGCGCAGGGTTCAAGGTTGGAAGATAGTGAGCCCCCAAGACCTTGAAATCGGCAAAAATTCATTCACTCCTGGTAAACCCCGAACCCCCCCTGTGATTTCGGGTGAGAAAATCGAAAGGTCGTCTGGGAGGTCGAGTGTTCTATACATTGTGGATTGTTTTGGACAGTGAATTGAAATCCACTCACATCAGCATAGTTGGCACTGTTTGATGTGTTGACATCGAATGTAGAATGTTGATGAATAACACCCCGAGACATGGATTGTGAAGACTTCTTCATCTATATGGGGGGTCAACAAAAGATCACCCGTCTACACCTAAGGAACCCAGTTGAACACCATTTTGGCCAAAACAGTCCTGCAAGATCACCGATCTGTTCTCGCCAGTCAATCCACGAAGAGACGTGCGACCCGGGTGGTGCGAGCCTCCGGGTGCTGGTGCGGCAGGCGTGGTTAGTTAATCAACTTCAATATGAAACCAACTGAGTCACGAGAGAAGGCTAGCCAGGCTAGCATCACTTCACACAAGACAATACCTCATTTGACAGCAAGATGTATCGCAGCAACAGCTTTGCAGCTGCGAGGTGTCAATGTTGGGAAAGTCCACTTGACATTAAAGAAAAACCTTCATCTACATCAGGCCGTCTCCTCCGAGCGCTTGCTGCACTGCTACCATCAGCTGAAGGCGGGTCGACGTGCCACGCGCCGCGGGTGGGGCATCGAACGCAGCCTGGCACAAAGGCGGAGTTGACAAATAATCGCCAGACACGACCCATGGGAATGCCATAGGACTGCCAATCAGTTGGGGTGGTTTTGGGGATCAATGTAGACATATATGGCAGTCCCATTCGTCGTGTCTGGGATCTGGTGTTTGTAGAGTTCTACAAGCAAAGTTGCCAAGTTCTATATGGCCTATTGGTAGGTGATCCCCTACCATACCCCTTTCTCTTCGGTGGTACAGAGGTATCCTTCCAGGGATTTAGGTCAAAGGGTTCCATTTTTGGAGTGCACCTATTTATTGTAATCAATTTATTTGGCAGGCGACAAGCAAATGACTGTTTGGATGCACAGGATGGCTACATTCCGCCCTTTTGGATGTGGGTCAAAACTAGGATCCCCGCGTTTTTGACCCTGAACCAACATATTAAGTACTGTAATATAAATATAACATAAATATATTGTATTATATAGTGTGTTTGTATGTACAGCCCATATATACTCCGCTATAGGTACTGCAGACACGTGACTCTTGACGTATTTTGGCTCAAGGGAAAAAGGCGTTCCGTAACGTCGAAACCTCGTTTTCATGGTAGCGCACGAGTCCGGTGAAAGTGACAGGGACAAAGCGCTGCGCATAAAGGAAGAAAGACACAGTAAAGTCGAGAGCTCCGAGGAGGAGGAGCTGGGATCCTCGGGAGCGGCAGCTTCTGCCGCCCCGAGTGGAAAGGAAGAAGGAGGAAAAGGAAAAGAGGAGGAGACAGAGCCTTTGCCAGCCACATCAGCGGCGGAACCAGCCGCAAACACCACTCCGGCGGTTGTAGAAACTGCCGAAACAACATCAGCGGTCGAAGGAACCGCGGAAACAAAAGAAGAAGAAGAAAAGACTACAAAAGAGAAAGAAGGAGGAGAAGAAGAAAAGCCTGAGCAAGACCCCATAGTAGAGCCAGAGGCTGAAGCGACTGATCCAGTCGCGCGGCCATCCTCATCTGGCCGAGTGATCGCCGACTTCCAAACCTCCCCAGAAGGTGTCAAAACAGGTTGGGAGGTTCGTGGCATTCACGCCAAATATACCCCAGCCAAAGTTGATCCCAAAGCACCTTGGAGGGTAAAGAAGAACATTTGGGGACAGGTCAAGAAGCATCCAGAGCCACAAACCGGATTTCGACTTCGAAGCAAGACTTCGCTTCAGTACCGGAGGCTCAAGGACCTGGTCAGGCTGGAGAAGAAGAAGGGTGTCATCACAGAGGATCTGAGGAGGCGCATCAAAGAGTTCGGAAAGGGGCGCACTCCACAAGAGATCAAAGAAGAGCGGGAAGAGCAGAAGGTCCGCAATCAAGAGAAGCGGGCCAAGAAAAGGAAGACCTCAGAAGCGGCTGATCCAGCCGAGGAGGAGGAGGTCGAAGAAGAAGAAGAGTCGGTGAGCCATCCAAGTCCGGTTCGACAGCCTCGAACACCGGACGGGCCACCGCCGGCTAAGCGACCGCAAACCCGCGACACTCAGCGGGGACGGGCGGTCTGGGGGCGTGCACTGGAGTTGAACCTCCGCATCATCGCCCTAGCCAACGAACGGGCCCAGCGATTGACGATAGAAAATTGGAAATTGGAGAGCCCGTTCCAAGTGCGAAAGTTTGCGGCCGACGAACTTTGCGAGCAGCGGAATCTCAAGGGTACCGTTGCATTGGCCGCCATTCGCGAATTGTGGAAGACCCCCAACGAGCAAGGAAAGAGAGGATCCAACGAGGCCTGTAGTTCTTGCGACGAACGGCGGCAGGCACAGCTGCCGGTGGTGAAGGACTACATCAAGCGGCGAGAACTTAAGGGACCTGCCGCGCTTGGATCGAGCGCCAAGTCCAAAGCGGCGCCGGCTGTGAGCCTGACACCTGGGCCGAAGGTAAAGGCCAAATCGAAGGCCGGTCCAAAAGGAAAGGCCAAACCATCCGCCGCGCCAAAAGTAGCGGCTGAAGCGAAGGCCACAACTGTGGGTCGTCGCCCGGAGGAACTCACGCGAACTACTGTTGAAGTTCGCGGGGTACCAAAACCCTCCGATCCTTGACCGGGCGAACCGCCCGCGACTGCCGCTGGAAAAGGAGTGAGCGGCAGCAGCAGCAGGGGTTGAGGGCAGGAAACCATGGAACAACAGATCCAACAATTGAGTGACATGGTACTTCAACTCCAACAGAACCAAGCGAGGTTGGAGCAAGAGAATCAAGTGTTGAGGGAGTCTCAAGGTGGGGTATCAATGCTAGCTTCAGCTGTAGGAGAATTGGCTAAAAGCCTTGAGAGGAAAGATGATAGGAAGAAGTCCCAAATCCTCATGGACACCAAAGGGTTAGGACGCCCCGAAAGTTTTGGAAATGTTGAAGGGGATTTTCGGAAATGGGCCAGGAGCATTGATAGCCTGTTCATAACTACTTTTGGGAGAGAGTTCATTGAAGTCCTGGAATATATTTTGGAGCAGGAAGACGCGATTGAAATGAGTGCTATGGAGTCCGCATTTGGGACTGGAACCATAGCAGCTATCGATGATTTAGAGGATAAAGCTGACCAAATTCATCGCGTGCTCCTGACCCTGACCTCGGGTGAAACAGAGGATTTGATGGTAGGAGCTTCAAATGGGTTTGAAGCATATCGGCGAGTTCACCGCCGTTGGGATCCCCGAACCTCGGGACGGAAACGCAATATACTTCGAGCGATTCTCCAACCGGAGAGAGTCAAGACATGGGCCGCGGTGAGGCCAGCGATCGAACAGCTCGAAGAGCTCATCAGGCGGTACGAGTCCCGGAGGAGTGCCGCAGGGATTAGGGAAACCCTATCGGACGACATCAAGTCCGCGTCATTGGAGATGCTGGTACCCCCAGATCTAGAGAAACATCTTTTGTTGAACAAGAGTAGATTGACAACCTATTCGTTGATCAAGCAAGAGATTGAACTTGTCATTGAAACATCCCTCACATCAAAGTCATCTGTTCCAAAACCAGGTTCATCAAGTTCAAGTTACCAAGGACCTCAACCCATGGACGTCGATTCGATCGGACAATGGATTGCAAGCCTAGTTAAAGGAAAAGGTAAACAGGCCAAAGGTGATGGAAAGAAAGGCTCAAGCAAAGGGGGCTCAAGTAAAGGCTCAAACCCGGCTCAAGATATTACCTGCTACAATTGCGGTAAGAAAGGACACCGAGCGGCCGATTGCTGGAGCAAGAAACGGCCGGATGGAAAAGGCGATAAGTGGTCAGGTTCAGGCAAAGGAGACAAGAGTAGTAAAGGTGGCAAAGGCAACAAAGGCAAAGGTGGAAAAGGCGGCAAAGGTAAAGCCGCAGGAAGTATGGAAGAGATGGACGAACCGGATGATGGCATTGAGCCAGCTCCGGAAGCCGATGTCGGCATGCTCATGGCAGACTTGAGTGGAGTTGGAATGGCGGATACCTCATCCGCCGAAGAATGGATGAAGTTTAACCTGGACACTGGAGCAGCCCAGACAGCCATCCCGAATGGCTGGGAGGACCGAGTGGTTGTCAGTGAAGGCAACGGAGTTGTGTTCAAGACTGCATCAGGAGAGTTGGTGCCCAGTCAGGGCATTGGAACCTTTGAAGGGTTCGACGAGAGCGGCAACAAATGCCGTGTGAAAGGTTCAATGGCTGATGTTCACAAGCCATTGATTTCAGCATCCAAGTGCTTAGGCTTTGGAAGGATTGCAGTTCTTGATGCAAAAGGCGGAAACTTGATTCCGCAAGGGTCTAAAGTTGGAAAGGCTGTCCAGGCGATCCTGGAGAAAGCGAACGCTGCAGAGCAGCGGAGTTGGATCCCTGTGTATCAGGAACAGGGAGTATACAACTTCTACTTGAGAAAGCCAGGGTATAAACCGACAAAGGAATGCTGTGGCATCGCAGAGTTGAACGCCACAGGAGAGAGAGGAGATGCCTCTATGGATTCAGGCCGACCTGGTCCAGAGGGGCGAGAAGAGGATGATGAGTTGGAATTAGTTGATGAGGTTGAGAAACCCATCCAGATAAGAGCGCCGGAGGATCCAACCCCGGCTGAGGTCGAAGAGCACGAGGCGACAGGCCATGTGCAATATCGAAGTTGGTGCCGGCATTGCATTGCTGGACGGGCTGTGGGACAGCCACATCGGACGAGGTCCGAGGAAGAGAAGGCCAAGAGCCTTGTGCCCACAGTGGCAATGGACTATACGTTCATGTCACGGGGCGGTGTGGAGGACGAGCGAGTGAAGCCGATCCTCGTAGTGAAGGATGAGAGGACACAGTCCTTAGCGGCGACCTTCGTGGACTCGAAGGGAGCGACACCGTATGCAGTGAAGTTCGTGGCGAACTTCCTGAAGAACTTGGGACACCGCAAGGTGGTTCTCAAGTCAGATGGTGAGCCATCAGTGGTAGCCTTGAAAGAGGCAGCGGCGAAAGAAACCGGCATAGACTGGGTTTCAGAAGAGTCGCCAGTGGGAGACCATCAGGCGAATGGTCTGGCAGAGAACGCCTGCAAGGAGATCAAGCGTCAAGTACGAGTTCTCCGCAGCGCGTTGGAAGAGAAGCTCGGCAAAGAGCTCAAAGATGATGATCCTGCATTGGCATGGCTGCCAAGACAGGCAGGAGACCTGTTGAGCAGGTACAAGAAAGGTCAAGATGGCAGAACGCCTGAGGCCAGAAGATGTGGAAAGCAATGGCGAAAACCTGCCATAGCTTTTGGTGAACGCCTATACTTTAGAGAAGTAGGCGAGGGAGTTCGCACCCTGAAAGAAGGACGCTATGTAGGGCACCATGGCCGAACAGGATCCATTTTGGTGATGACGGCCGATGGCGTGCGAAGAGGCACAGGAATCCGGCGGCTGAGTTCAGCCGACCGCTGGGACCCAAGTGAGTGGGACCTGTTGCGGGGCTTACCGTGGGAACATTCCGCGGCAAGGCCTGCCGGTGAGCAGTTGATGCTCGAAGAGCGCCTTGTGGTACCACCTCCCAAGGAGGAACGAGTGGCACCACCACAACAGAGGCGAGTGTACATCAGGAGAGAGGATGTGCACAAGCATGGAGCCACAGAAGGCTGCCCAGGATGCAAGTGCATCTTGGAAGATAAGAGGACGACCTTGCCGCACACAGAGGCGTGCAGAGCAAGGATCACCGAAGCAATGGAAAAAGATGAAGCTGGGCAAGCGAGACTTGAAGCCCATGCAAAGAAGAGGAAAGAACGGCAACAGCTTGACACTGTGAAGCCGAAAGTCGTGGCCGACAAGGACTCCGACATCCCAGCCGAAGACGCGGCTGGGGAACCAGAGAAGAAGGAAGATGCAAAGAGCGCAGGGTCGGGAAGCTCACCGCCAGCAGCAGCAGAGGGTGAGAAAACCTATCCCGATGACCCGAAAGAGAGATATGAGATGAAGAGGCAAGCAGCCGAGATAGAGAAGAAGCCAGTGGCGAAAGCCAAGGTAGCAACAGAGCCCAAGAAGAGAACAGGAGAACTTCGGATAGATCCACCTGGGGCAAAGGTCAAGCCGAATCCAGTTCAAGGAACAAAGAGGTCCGCAGAGACCGCCGTAGAAGACCTTGATCCCAGAGTGGAAGAGAGTCCAAAGAAAACGTCTCAGTTTTCACATGTTCCAGAAACACCACCAGCAGGGTGGAGGCCAGATGCAGCCAGCTTGGTAAAAGAGAAGGAGATCGCAAAGCAGCATCTGAAGAAGATCATTCAAGGAACCTATGAGGCGAATGGCATTGAGATCTCTGAGCAAGAGATCGGAGACATCGCTCATTTGAGCATGCAGATGTCAGCAGTAGATATCATGGAGATCTACTCGCCCAAGAGGTTCACTGCGCTTGCAGAGCGCTACAAGTTGCGACCGGGTTTTGCGGTCGACTTGAATGAAATGAAAAGTGATGGAACATACTGGGACTTGAACAAGCCTGAAGATGTTCAAGAAGTGCATGACATCCTTGAGAAGGACGAACCGGCGCTTTTGACTGGTTCGCCACCGTGCCATATGTTCTCGCAGCTCCAGAATCTCAACTGGAGAGGCATGGCACCGGATGTCCGGAGGAGGAAAATGGACGAAGCGGTCCACCACCTCCATACGAGCGTAGAGCTGTATCTCAAGCAGCATCGCTCAGGGAGAAAATTCCTCCACGAGGCACCTTGGTCCGCGACCAGTTGGAAGGATGAGAAAGTCGCGGCCTTAGCAGAGGAAGATGGAGTGTTCATAGTGAAGGGTCCAATGTGCAGGTGGCAAATGATGGCCACCGACCGAAGAGGACTCCAAGGCACTGGCTATGTGAGAAAGGAGACCGGTTGGATGACCAACGACGAAGGGTTAGCCAGAGTCTTGCAAGGAGTCTGCTCGAATGAATCGGGCAAAGGACCATGGCACCGACACATCCATCTGATCGGAGGCATTGCAAGGCAAGCAGCGGTATACCCACCGCCGCTTGTGAAAGCAGTGCTAAGGAGCCTGCGTGACACACTAGCTGAGAAAGGTGAGTTGAACACCTTTGATTTGTTTGCAGCAGGCCCAGTTCCAGAGATGCCTCTGATGGACCCTGAGTTCGAAGAAATTTACATGGACGATGTGAACGGCGGCATTTTGCCAGCCGAGAAAGTGAAAGAGGCAAGACGCCTTGAAATGAATTATTTGAAAGAAAAGCATGGTGTTTATGTGACCCGGCCGAGAGCCGAATGTTTTGAGGAAACGGGGAAGCCCCCGATTCCAGTCAGATGGTTGGACACCAACAAGGGAGATCCAACAAACCCGAACTATAGGAGCCGATTAGTTGTGCGTGAGATAAAGGCAAGAAAGACCAAAGAAGAACAATTGCCAGCCAACTTGCTTTTCAGCAGCACGCCCCCATTGGAGGCGATGAGACTGCTGTGCTCGTTGTGGGCAACAAAGAGAAAGTCCTGCCACAACCAGCCGCTGAAGCTGGGCTTGTGGGGCATCTCACGAGCACACTTTTATGGAACTCCGAAGAGAAAGATCTACATAGAGCTGCCGCCTGAGGACGAAGCCAGCAAAGATGGACAAACCTGTGGACTTCTCGTGAAGTCAATGTATGGAACACAGGATGCTCCAAATATCTGGCAGACGCACTACACAGAGACTCTGCAGAAAGCTGGTTTCCGCAGAGGCTTGTCAAATGCGTCAGTCTTCTACCAAGAAGCTTGGGACGTCAGAGTGATGGTGCATGGAGATGACTTCCTAGCGCTTGGGGACGCCCAACACTTGGAGAAGCTCAGCCAAGTCCTCAAAGATGCCTATGAGCTGAAATGTCTCGGAATTCTTGGAGACGAGGATGGAGACCGAACAGAAGCTCATTTTCTGAATCGGTTAATCCGAGTTGAGAAGAAGAACGGCAAAGGATCGATTGTGATCGAAGCCGATCGGAGACATGTTGATCTTTTGATCCAGGCATTTGGTCTGGAAAAGGCAAATGGTGTAGAATCACCAGATGTCAAGAAGTCGGCAGGTCAGCAGATGCTGGAAAGCCGCAGTCCGCTGCTTGATAAGAGCGAGGCATCGAAGTATCGTTCAGCAACGATGCGTGCTGCGTACTTGTCCCAAGATCGACTTGATATTGGGCACGCAGTCAAGAACCTTGCTCGAGGTATGGTATCACCAACAGAAGCCAAACTTGCTGACTTGAAGCGTCTCATCAGGTACTTGAAGAAATATCCTGATGTTGGGCAATGTTTTGGCTCGCAGCAGACGCCCTCAAGGCTGAGGGTGCAGGTCGATGCCGACCATGGTGGTGACGCTGTGACACGCAAAAGCACGACTGGCATGGTTGCTATGTATGGCATGCATGTGTTGAAACACAGTAGTAACATCCAATCCACTGTAGCCCTTTCTACAGGTGAAAGTGAGTACTATGCACTTGTGAAGGGAGGATCTGTGGGCTTAGGCCTCCAAAGCCTATGCGCAGACCTTGGTTTGGAATTAGGAGTCACCATCGAGGGCGATTCCAATGCAGCCAAAGGAACTGTGAATAGAGTGGGTTTGGGTAAAGCCAGACACATCCAGACTCGCTACCTATGGTTGCAAGAAAGGGTCGCCGAGGGCCACTTGAAGGTGCACCACGTTCCAGGAGTCAAGAACAAAGCCGATGTTTTGACCAAGTCGGTTCCTGGAGTGCAGCTTCGCAAAACCATGGAGGACCTGCAATATGCATTCCTCAGCAAGCGAAGCAAAGGACAGTTAGATGTTTTGGAGTAAGGTCCCTGGCCAAGCTCCACTACCATAACTGAAAGTGGCTAAGCAGCGAGAGTTTCACATGTTTACTTTTATGCTTGCGCAGCAGTACAGTGCTTTGCAAGAGGAGGAGTGTTTGTATGTACAGCCCATATATACTCCGCTATAGGTACTGCAGACACGTGACTCTTGACGTATTTTGGCTCAAGGGAAAAAGGCGTTCCGTAACGTCGAAACCTCGTTTTCATAGTGCATATCAAATAGAGGAGGTGAACGAGAGCAACCGGTTCTTCCCCTATCCACTTCTCTCCAGGCGAAGCACTTGAAGATGCAGTGGGTCCGGGGACCCACTGGACGGGGATGTGACGACGTGAGACCGCAGAATGTGACGCTGTGGTGGGTAGTTGGAAGACGTTGGACGTTTTCCAAAGCACCGTGTGACTCCAGAGGTCATTGGACAGCGCCAGGTGAATTTGTTTGTGTTTCTAATCGTCGATCTTGCGTTAAAGTTTACATCTAGTCATAAGAAGTGTGTTTTGTTTTTGTTTCACCGCTTCTGCAGTGGTGGAAGCTGCGAAAGCTTTGCTGCCATGAGAGTTGTTCTGGTTATGCATAGGTAGCTGCATGTCCGTGGGAAAGAGGAGCGCAAACTCTTGCAGAAACTCCAATTGTCTTCAAAGGTGCCCCTCTCCCGATCATTTCATCGACCACATCACCGATCTCAGTTTTCACCCCTTCACAAAGAGGAACAAAGGCAACAGGAAGCACTGCATGATGTTGAAAACACACCGGTTGCTTAAGTGTCGTCGATCTCTTTTAAAGAAACCACTTTGGGACACGTGCTTTAAACACCATGGTGGTAGTGATGCTGTGTTGCTCGCATTTGTTTTGCATGGTTTCGTTTTGGGTGTGGTTTTTGCAAACAAGCAGATCATCAACAAAAAACACCAAGCAGATCACACCCGGGTGTTCTGCTCGTGGCCCTGCACTGTTCAGAATTTGCGAGATGTTTGTTTTTTTCCTTCATCCTAAACAAGCAAAGCACTTAGAACCCAAGCAGCGATCCCAGTTGGCAACTTTGGTCACCACCCAAAAAGTACCATGAACACACGGCGGAAGGAAGGTTGGCGCAACCAAAAAGCCTCAGAAGCCTTGCGTCAACGAAAAACCATGGCAACATATGGCAACCAAGGACCGGAAGGACCTACAGCGAATCCAATTCATAGCAGGACCTGCCTACTGACGTCACCACTGACATGGCCTCGTCGCGACAGAGCAACGCCTCGCCTCTACCAGTTGAGACGCCTCGCTCCATCCTCCAGGTGTTGGTGAATGACTCCCACGTGAGGGCCCTGGCAGCCGTGGTGAGGGACCCCAGAGGCCAAGAGAAAGAAGAAAAACAACAAGAATAACAGTGACAAACAAAGAGAAAGTCTAGCAAAAGAGCAGGTTGACCTCCAAACATAAGTCTGGATGTGCCCGGAAGCGATCGTGTCGACTAAGGGATGATAAGGCTTGACTTAGGGTGACTTGGAGTCGCGAAAGGAAAGAGGTTTGTGTTCGGAAAGTCATAGCAGATCATGTGAGCAAAGCAAGCGTTCGGAGGGGTTTTGCTTGGAACTTCTGCTTGGATGGTTCAAGCAGTCACAGAACAATTGAGGGCATCGACGAATCACACCGTTTCATATAGTTCATAACTCCACCTCTTTCACTGCAGGCGATTCTCACATGGTGCGCTTGTTTTGGTGAAGTTAGGAAGACAGTGGAAAGCCATGCTGGTGGGATAGGCAGTCACCCGGAAAGCGCCACGGAAAGCCCGCCATGCGAACTGCCATCAATCACTCCGCGAAGTTCCTCGACACCGGCGACCGGCGTTCTCTGCTGGGCGTTCTCGGTTCCCCAGGTCGGTCGGAGCTGGTCGGTGGAGATCGGCAGATCGGTTTCTCCGTGCCCCACAAGAGGAACAGCAGATCGGTGAACCTCAATAGGTCAAAAAGGTGGGAAAACACGGTGCAGGTCGAACGCAGCGTTTAGGCAAAGAGACGAAGAAACCACCAAACATGCATGCAGTGTTTGGATTAAGTTGTGTGATGTTGTGTGTAAATTAAGAATTGCATAAATTATCGGTGAATCATAGTTTACAAGATGTGTGCTTCGAGGCCTTTAAGAGCTAAAGGCGATTCTTCTCTCACAGACTGGCCATTCTGCCCTTCATAATAGAAACTATTGTTCCTATACCAGCAGTCACAAAGGGGTGCCTATTGGAGGATTTCGGGGTGCCCTTGTCACATCCACTCACTTGGGGGACTGGTATACTCCCTTTTGTTTCTCCCATTGAGGCGGAAAACGAGGCCATCCGCTGATGGCGACCGCATGCCGGGCGACCGAAAAGGCCTCGCTGGCGCGGTCCGGGCGACCGAAAAGGCGTCGGTTCAGGCGAGATCTCGGCCGGAGACGGTGAAGGGAAAGAGACCATGTCGGCCCAAATCCATAGTTCTACCATGTTCTACCCGGGATCCATTGGGTAAAAGACAAGGCCACTTCATCACAGCAAGTTGAAGTAAACACTGCCCCACCAAGAGCTCTTCGCATCTCGACACAACATCACACATTGACCAGTTCACACAGTGTCGCAGCAGGAATTCACCGCTCATCGTTTCGCTGCGTTTCACCATAATAAAAATCTTTGTAACAGCATACTATATGTATTTGGGAGTTTTGGGGGGATTCAAGTTTCAGTCTCCCAGATGTTCGTACCAGCGACTTCCTACAGTGTACAGGTTTTTCGACATGTTTCCCTAGTCAATTATGTTCCTTCTAGCTCAAACACGAAGTTGTCCAGCAGCGCAAGCTTATTGGCATGTAAACAGGGTCGCCAGGAATTCTCCATATATTATTTTATATGCCAGGTAGATAGAGCTCAGAAGAAATGTTGACATGACTCAACTTGCTTTTGTCGTATTTATTGGGCATTCTGCAAGTACGAATGAAGACTTTGAAATGTGGAGAGTTCTTCTTCGCAATCGGATAGTTTGATTTTCAGCCTCTCGTTTCCCAAGAAGCTGTTTACAGGAGCGATGGTGAGAAGCAGCCTTCGGGTGTGATATGCTGCACTCCAGGTGCATAATGGATGCATATGTGTTTCGTGCTTGATGCTTTTGGTTTTCTTTTGGGTAGGCCTTGCACTTGCCTGCGTTTGTTGGCATGTATAGCAAAGACGTCTAACGGGAAGGATCAAAACGACGAGTAGGGATCAATCAAAACATAAGCTGGAAAAGCAAGACAAGGCAAACCAAACAAAAAAAAATATAAGAAGACGACCAAACAGAAAAGATTGATTCCTTGTTTTTTCATGAGTTTGCTTTGCCGCAAAGGCAACCGTGTCACGCAGGGCTTTGATCCTCAAGGGCTTTCGACTCTGATAGACCGAGTTAGTTCCAGGGGTGTCTCTCCAAACCATGGCGAACTTTTTCATCGAGCAGCAGCTGGGAGCTGTGGCGCGAGAGCAAGGGACCTCGGTCCGAAGCTTAAGGAGTCGGATCAGAGAAGTGACATCGGGACTGACACTCGCCACTGCGTGCAGCGGCACGGATTCTCCCATCGTCTTGGCCAAATGCTTGGGCCTGGAGAGCAGCTTTAGCTGCGAGTTCGACAAGCTCAAGCAGGAATGGATCATGGCCAACTTCCCTGAGGTCCAGCGGCTCTTCTGTGACATCAAGACGTTGAGGCGCAATGAGGTCTTGAATTTGATCACTGGAGCCAAGGAACGCGTGCCTTCAGCGGACATTTTCATTACTGGCTTCGTTTGCAAGTCGGTTTCTACGGAGAACAATGACCGCAAGGCCTACAAGAACTGCATCAAGGAGGGCAGTGGTGAGACCGGTGAGACGTTTAGTGGAATGATGGATTACATCAAGAAGCATACGCCATTGGTGGTGATTGCAGAGAACGTGAAGGGGATCACCACCAAGAATGACGGCAATCCACCGGTGATTCTTCAAGTGGTAGATGCAATGAAGAAGCCCGGCACCATTGTTGATCAGGTGATTTGTTGATTTTTTGTGTCCCTGCATTCACCCCCGAAACCACCCCCAATGTAGGTATAAATATGCCATACATGGAGTGTTTGGATGCTGTTTCCGTTTTAGCGATTTCCCTTCTAGAACTTCTAGGCAGTATTCCCTTCTACAGAGTCTAGACAGGTTAAACACGTGTAATTTAGAGTTGTCCTCGCTGGTTTTTGACATGCCCAGGAAGGCAGGGTACCATTTTGACTACAAGCTCCTCAACACGAGCGACTTCATCATTCCTCAAAGCCGCAATCGTTGTTGGATGGTGGGCCTTCGCCGCGACCAGTTCAGTGAATGCGATGTCGAGGAGATCTTCGACATGGTCGAGCAGATGAAGTCTCCGGCGATGGATTTGAAGAAGTACTTCAAGCATTTCAAGGTCGGTCGAATGGGGATGCCACCGAAGCAGACTCTGAACGCACGGCAGAGGAGGGTCATCAAGGCTACCTGATTTTGAGGATGATTTTGTATTTTCCGAATTCCCTTCTTGGGATATGTAAATGTATGCACGCATAAATTAATATATACGTCATAATTCTTCCCGGTTCTTTAATTGAGCAGATCCAAGGCTGGTTTGAAGAAGGCGAAACAGCGAAGCCCTCGTGATCAAGTGATCGTCGACGTGGCCAAGAGCGACAAGAGAGCACCAACGCAGCTGAATCGCACGCCCTGCTTGGTGGCCAACAGCACCCCGTTTTGGCACAATCAGAATCGCTTCTTGAGTGCTGAGGAGGTGCTGGCCCTGCAGGGCATCTTTGCCAAGGACTTCAAGGCAGCGAAGAAGACCTTCCTCACCAAGCACCGCAGGCTTTGCCACGATTTGACGGGGAATGCCTTTTCGATGTCGGTGTGTTCTGCTGTCTTGAGCAGCGTCTTGCTGAAGCTTTGCGATGTGTGAAGCCGGCACAAGTCGCATGTCGCACAGGACGACGTGCCGATGAGCTTTTGGTGTCCGAAGGGAGTGACACAAACATAGTTAGTAGTTCTCATTAGCTTGCGTTCTTAATCGTTTCATTTGGTCAGCATCTGGTCAGTGTTGTTTTTTGCAAGGATCATTGACCCAGTCTGGCCAAGGAGGAAAAAGTATATCCTTTTCATTTCTTTTCAACATGCTGAATTGCGGGTGCCATAGTTTATCTATTATGCTTATAGTAAGTTGCAATCTAGGAACTGTAGAAGTAGCAAAACACGACCGCAACTGGGAATGGGGAACGATTCTTGTGGTTGCCAGGTGCTCTCACCAGCCCGGATCGAGGCACGAAGCTGGTTGGTTTTGCCTTTCGCATGTCTGTTTCAACTAATTCTGGGTCTCATCTCAGCCTCACCGATACGACGGCGTATGAATAGTGAGGCTGAGAATATGAACACCTTCTGGCATCTCCAGCCGTTGCTTCATTGAGCTCGGCTCAGCTCAGCTCAGGCCGCCTCGCTCGGGAGCTCTGCCTGGGAGCGGTTCCCGATGATTTGGCAGGTTCCAGGACAGGTTCCCGATGATCCAAGCTGTCTACATACAGACCATGCCCTCGAGACCAGGCGGACGGCGAACATTTGAGTTGTTCCAGTGTTTGGAATGAAGAAAAGGGTTCTGTAATTTTTGGGCAGTGAAACAATTGACATTCTATTGGGTCCCGGGTCAGCAGCTCTTTGAACGTAGCCGTGTCACGTGGGTGAGCCAGTGGGAAACGGATGCGGTTCCTTTGGTGAGCCCATTGTGGTTCCTTTCGTTCCGTTGGTGTTTCTCTTTAAATATCGACACCATAAGTTGCTAGCAAGTATAAGTCCCAGACACTCCATGGGACTGCCATATATGCCGATCAGGCCAGGGGTGGTGGTGCCAGGGGGGTCTTTCTGGGGCGGCAGTCCTATGGCAGTCCCAGACTCATCGTGTTTGGGTAAGTCAGCTCAGCAAACCAGTCATCCGAAACCCAACCAGTCAGGCACGGAGAGGAACTCGCTGTCGGCAGCCGTCGAACTGCGGGAGGCGCAAGACGTCGCCCGCCACCGCGGGTGAGCATCGATGCCGTGCCAGGTTCTCACTGTCAATTGTCTCTATACCCTGGCTTCTGCCCGATGTCAATTTTTGGAGGCTGAAAGCATTTTGAAAGCCTTGCAGAAGATTCTGGCTGCTTTGTCGAAATCCCTGGTGCCACTGCAGTGTGCAAGACCTCCATGTCCAGAATAGAAGCTTTCAGCGGAGGCATTTCAAGGGCGCAAAAAGAAGGAGAGCCGGGAACTATGGCATAAAGGAAAAGCACTTGCGCAAGCCAGCCGTGTCTTGTGTCAGTGTGCCTTCTGCTAGTTATGTGAGTGTGGCCGCCGCCTCCTCCAATGAGCCTGCCCTTTTATTCTTTTGGAATCCCGGATGGACAAGAACTTTGCAGCCGCTTATGCCAGCGGTCTTCTGTGGCACGCCGAGGGTCAAAGATGTTTGGCTTCCAGTGAACTTAGCACAGAGATGCACAGAGTGCATTGGACATGAGCTTGTAAAAAGGAGCCCAGAACAAGCAGATTTGGCGCAAAAGTGTCGTGATCTCAAGCTTTCAGACATGCCAATTCAGCCGTACAGTGACATGAAGCAGGAACTCGAACCCGCTTGTAGAGCGACTATATAGGCAGTGTTGCTGTTGGTGCCATGGACATTCTTTGTGACTTGTCATGTCCTGCACAGGTGCTTTCCACAAGAATCGGTCAAATCTTCTGGGACAACCCAAACCTTGACATTCCGCGCCTAGGTTGCGGCTCTTCTGGCCCGAGCTATCCCTATTAGTCGTCGTTTCAATTTGCAAATCATGTCGTGCTACACATTCGACCCAGAGAAGCAAGTGCCGAAGGGTCAAGACATCCTTCCCCGCATCTTGGGCAAGCATCACGTGGGCAGAGCTAAGCACCAGGCCAAGCAGGAGTGACTGGGAAGACGGGCTAAGAGACGGGCAGAGCGCGGAGCGGCAGGTGGTCTTCAAAGAAGATCCTGACATCTTTTTCCACAGAAATGCGATGTGTTTTGATGTTTCTTTTGTGGCTTGCACTTAACGCCACCTAACCTTGAGCAGGGATATTGAACAAGAAGATTAATTCAGCATAATTCAGCATGTTCGGAGGTTGCTAGAGGCCTGGGCCATTCTTTACGGACATGGCATAGGATGCTCTCCGCTGGAAACAGATAGACTGACTATAGATGACTAGATGGACTATAGACTCATAGACCCCATACATCAATGCCAATTGGGGGATGCATCGTCCATGGCTCCCGGTGACAGCGAAACAGGCGACCCCTTAAGAGGTCCAGGACCACAATGGACCTCCAAAACCGCTGGGTTTGCTGGAGAAAAGGGTCGACAAAACCATGGGATCGTCGTAGTTCGGGGTTTTTGACTCTGGATCAGATAGAACCGGGTCGAACGTTTTTTTTTTACCATCCTTTACCATCTACAGACGGGTGGTGGTTATATTCATCAACAGTCTGCCGAGACGTCGAGGCACGTCGAAAGACACCGTCTTCGCTGCAGGAGGTGACAGTTGAGACACTGACCCCGATCGAGGCCTCGGATCCGGCGCGAAGGAATTGGTGTCAAGACTTCGACATGACCGCAGACGCGTGTGGAAGAGGTTCGTAGACACCTTTCAGATCCTCTCAGCAGGTTTCAACGATGAGAACTTGTTGCTCAAGTTCCTTGCAAACCAAGTTCTTGACCTTTTGGACTAGCATATAACTATAGCTTTGGAATTCATTGGAAGATGAGATCGGAGACACTTTTCTAGACTGTTCATCCGCCGCTACACTTTTTTCAGGGTGCCTTCGTAGGCCATGCTCTCTTCGTTGCTACACCCATGCAGCCCTTTTGAATCCACTCCAAGAATCTCGCAGCAAAGGCAAAACTGCTCGCACCAGCTGCTCACACCACAGTCTCCTCCTCTCTTCCCCCACCTCCCCTCAGCAACTGCACGCCACGAAAAGTGACCATGCCGTGTCAGGAAGAGAGTTGCTTGGTACGCACGAACGCCGAGATCAATGCAGAGTGGCACCAGATGGACTTGTTGGCCCTGGCCGCCCGGGCCTTCCTCGCCGCCGAGGGTGTCACCTTGCCCGAGATGTTGGCGCTGGCCGATGAGATCGAGAAGAAGCGGGAAGAGGAGAAGGTGGCCTTCGAGGCGTCGGAGCTCCGGTGGTGGCAGATGGATTGTTGATAGTTGATTGTTGAGTTGAAAGAGGGTGTGTTTGACCTGTTCTGGAACTCATGGACTGTAAGATAGGCATGGATGACAATATGGATGGCATGTATTTTGGGCAGTTCTGCACATGTTGACTCTGCAAGAGCCATTCAAACGTCTGTTTACGCAGGGATAGAGCGGCAAGTGCTTCTTGAGAACTTGATGCTTAGGAACTTGGGAGGGCGGCATATGTTACAGCAATCAACTCGGTGTGTTGCATTGCTAAATTCGTGTAAATTCGAGGAAATCCAATATGTGGTTGCTGGATTGCTGGATTCTTTTCTTGGTGGAAAAACGCCCTGCTTTTCTTGCTTGAAAAAGCAGTGTGTAATTAATTTTGAGCAGCGTGATGTTCCGTCCACCTCCGCCGGTGTCCGAAGCGGTGTCGTCGTCTCTCACCGTCGGGGAGGCCTTCAAGAAGACCTTGCGCATGAGCGATGAGAGCTTTTGGATCCTCGGATCCCGGCGGTGTCACACACGTGTCACACATGTCACAATGTGTCACACGTGTTCACATCACACAAGATACATCCATCCGTCGCAGTTTGGAAGAACAGTATTGTTTCGTAGACTTTTCGGTTGGACATGCGGTGATTTTGATGTCTTTTATTAGTGGATCATGGATTGAATTGGTGAGTTGAGCTGCAGGATCCTGTCCATTTCCTGTCCATTTTCAGGACGGCCTTTTACTCAACACGTGGAGTCACCACGCAGCATTTTCAGAGGCCCGGCTTGTGGGGCCTTGCGCAATGGGGTTGGTTGAAGCCTGTAGTCAGGTCGCTTCGCCATAGCCATTCCAGTTTGGCCTATCGATCCTGTGGGTCGAAGACTATTCAGGTCGGTAGAGGTGTCGTAGATCAAATGTATCTCTACTCTGTATCATATTGTATCGCATTGTATTGCTGTATGATGCGTGCTTTCGACCCCTTTGAAAATTGTAATACATGCTTTTTGAGATTGTATATTTTTCAGGGGTCCAGCTTAATGACATTCAACAATTCCTGTAATGTGCAATTTGTTTCCTATGCATTATTCATTGTATTGCATTGTGGTATTTTCTGTTGAATGGAATTCCATTGTATCTTATTGAATGTATGATATCATTCTGTTTTTTCGACCCCTTCAAACTCTGCAATATAAGGGGGCCCAACTTATATCCAACCTTCCAGCGGGTGGTTCTTCTTCGCGAAGCAACCTAAATCGTGTCATTTGAGGTGCAAAATCTAGCAGCCATGGCACCATTCGTAGCCATGGGTCGCAAGAGAAACGTCTGGACTAATGTTCATGTTCCATCATGTTCTGGTCGCAACAAATGCAGGTTGAACCATGTCGCACGTCCCATCTCCTCCCATCTCAATTTGTCATCCTCTGGCCCACGGCTTCCTGGCAACCGTGGAAAGGCCATCCTGCTTCCCTTGGCACCTTCCGCTGATGCCTCGCTTCGGCCCATCTCCGGTGGTGGAAAGGCCATCTTTCATGCCGTGGAATCCGCTGCCGCCGCGCCTGGCGGGATCAGTCAAGCTTCGCCTGCCAACGGCCGTCCGTGACCGCTGCGCGTGGTTCGGTCGCTGAGTGGGCCAAAAAGACTTCGATGGGCCGCGACCGCGCGGCCTGATGTTTCAAGGGGTCGTTGCGGGTGAGGATCCCCATGCCCGGTAACGGTCGACCAATCAACAGGAGCGAATCAAAGGGGCCAGCTCAGAGAAGCCTGTTGAGACATGTTGAGACAAAAAAGAGAACCCCGGTCTATCAGAATCAATATAATTATTTGGTGCTTCTTCGGATCTACAGGGACTTTCAGCAATTTCATCCCGTTGAGACCTCAGACTGGGCATGACGCACCATCGGGACATGGTCGCGGTTACCGGCGGGGCGCCTCACCCCATCGATCTGTATCAAAATCCAATTCGCCTCGCGTCAAGGCGTTGCCTAGGCGGCAGCGCCTTCGCCTTCTTCTCGAGGCGGCATTTCGTTTCACTAAAATGGCGCTCACTGCCGAAATCGGTGGCGGGTTGGCCCTGCACACGTGCGAATCATTCGGTGGCCAGGTTTGAAATGGTCTGAAAAAGCGTGCATGGACACAATAAATGTTTAAAAGGGACTCTTGAGGCTTGCCTCAACCACGCTGATCTGGACTTGGGAGTTTCGGAAGAAGAAACCATCACTGAATCTTACCCTCTCCCGTTTGCATCACCATTCGACATGGAGCATATAGTGACATCACCATTGTTTTGCCGTGACGCTGGAGTAGTAGGTCCTTCTTGGCAGTCCATCGCCGTGGTACCGTGGCCGTGGCGACTGAGGTCGGCGGCGAGACCGGCGAGACCGGCGAGACCGAGGACGTCTCGCTACGCTGGAGACGTTTCGAGGTTGGAGACTTCGATGCCGCGTGGACCGGTGGTTTTGGACCGGTGAACACATGCAGTATGGAAAGAGTGTTTTGGGTTCCTCCAGCCGGAAACGCCTCCAAAGAGAATCAAGCAATGATTGTTTGTTCCAAACAAGCTCACCGGGTGAGTCGTTTGGGGGGTCTTATGTTCTTCTTCCTACCTGCGATTTAGCATATTATATCGATATACAATGATATACACGTCGACCGGTTTGGCTCGGTCTCAGGTGCCAAATCTCCGGAGCTATGTCAACTGTCCCGTGTGGACCGCTGACCTCGAGGTACGGCACGACGCTGACCGCTCCCGTTCCCCATAGGTCCCATGGAGTCGTTAAACCGTAAAGAAAACCGACGGTTGTTGAGAGGTGGTTTTCTCCAAGACCAACGTCAACAAAGGTGGTCTTGTCGGTTGCTTCAATTGAAGGTGGTTTGCTTCTTCCATTTTCTGTCTAAAACATAAAGCAGACGACGAGAACATCAATCACCAACTCTTTTTGCCAAGGTCGATCATGCTTTCCAACCAGGTTGTTGCAAAGCTGCGCAGTTGGTTGCATAGCTGCACTCTCCAGGCGTTGAAGTGCGAGGAGGCCGAGGAAATCTCCAGGTGGACGGCGAAAAGATGCGACATCGGGACGTTTCTGCCGGGTCTTGACCCTCCTGCGGATTGGAGTTTGTACGGTTTGTATAGTTTGTATCGTGTCTTGTCCACTTTGGTTGAAACACTATGACTCTGTTGGATGGGCGAGTCCTATCAATAATGCAGCACCGTGCGGATTGGCAGATTGGCACCCTAGTTCTTATAGACGTGTATGTCCACAAGAACCCATTAGTAAGTGACTTAGGGGGAAAGCACGCAGATTGGCCAGTGCCGGAGCGATGAGTAACTTTGCAGAATGGGTCTCCACTGCACCACAGGTGAGGTTCATGGGCCCTGCTAAGAACTCAGTCTTCTTGACCCACTGACCGACTACGTTCCGAGCCTGCCGCGGAACGGGCCGCGTAATCCACAGGTCCAAGTACTTCAACCCTGCCCTTGGAATCTTTGGAACGCTCAAAGAGCTCGAATCTGCTCACGTGAAGAGCTCGCATCGGCGGAGGCTTTTGACACATCCGGAAGAGGCGGACTTGGCGCCCGGAGGCTCAGCAGGAAAAAGGGCCTAGAACTGTGACCAATAGGCAGAGAGTGGGCATATAATATATTACACCTATCAAGGATCTACACGGCAGTGAAGATGTTCCTTCATGTTCCTTCACTTAATTCATAGACTTCGATCCAGTGCATCCACGTCCTTCCGCGCGCAGTGGCGACCACCGCCTCGATCCAAGCGCGGAACGGTTCCAGACATTTCGCTCTCCATGGCAGTGCAGGAGGGGGAGAGCATAGCAATGAGATGCAATGAGTATCAGTATAAGTCATGTGGGGATTGTTCAACACCTGGAGCCCCCACACCATGGAGCTTGACCCACTTGTTTGACCTGCAGTATCCTGCAGTTATGAACACACCAACTTCACGGAGAATGGTGGGCTTGGGCCCGCGGATGGACCGCGTTACTGTACGGGTCAGGTCCCAGCGGTGGCCCAGTGGCTTGAGCCCAAGCAGGCCGCTTCGGGGGGAGCTCCGTTCCGAGCGAGTACGTTCCGTTGCTGCGGAAAAAACCAGGTGTTCAGTTGGGGAGTAATTGGGGTGTTCAGTAAGGAAGTAGTTGGGTGGTTCACCAGGTGTTCAGTAGTTGGGTTTGGGGAGGTAATTGGATGTAATTATACAGTCTATCGACCCTTGGCTCCTGCAAAAAAAATGCTGCAGACCATCGCATGAAACTCTTCCGGGTGGCTGCCGTAAGAGTTCTTTAAGTTCTCCTCGCGTTGTTGAAGTCATGGCAACATGAGAACTATATATAAGCTTAGCTTAACACTTAAAGCAATGACAATACTTCCCCGTATGCTTTGGGAAACTGCATATTTCCAGTATAAGAGATACAACTATATATGGCTACGGCCAGATACATAAGGCTTGGATCACACACCCAAACCCGCACACGATCCATACCTCGATCCATAGGGTATGGATCAAAAGGTAGGTGTGTGATCCAAGCCCTTGGATCACACAACTACTAGTGCTACCACTGCCACAACAACAACAACAACAACAACTACTACTACTACTACTACTACTACTACTACTACTACAACCACCTCTGCTGCTACTACTGTTGTTGCTGCCACCACTCCTTCTGCTACTGCCACTACACTTGCCACCTGCCGCTACTACTACAACAGCTTTACTATTGCTGCTACTGCTACTCACTACTATCACTAGTATTACCACCACCACAGATTTAGCGGAAGCCACTAGATTCAACTTCAAATTTTGACTTCCCATTCTGGCAAAGATTTAGGTAACAAGACTCGAACGAGCCCCTTTGTTTGAACGTTGCTTGCAGCCAGGAGCTTTTTCGTTCACCACGTGTGAGCGGCTCGCACGCGACCAAATACCGAATAATTTGGCTCAAGGAGAAAATGAGACTATGAATGAAAGCTGTTTGCAATTAGTGAATTGTAAATAAGCACATAAAGTCATAGCAAAGCTCCTACCACAAACGTGGTAGCGGAGCTGTCCGCCTGGTTTGCTTCGGGACCTTAGTGAGCAGTTGTGTCACGGGAACACACCCTAGGTTGCTTGCAGGTGTAGCACACGTGTGTTGTTCGCACCATGACGGAGCAAGGTGAACCACGACAGGAGGAACCGAATGGGTTTGAGCGTGTAGCGCCACCTACGCTTGACGCACTGAGACAGGTTGAGCGCGGGCGCCGGCGGTTCAATGCCATGGTCAATGGCCACAACCGCAAGCCCGCGCTGCCTTTCAAGAAAGGCTTGTCTGGGTCAGCCAGGGCGTGGACAGACACATGGGGCAAATTGAAGGAGCCTTGCTGCAACTTGCTTTCTTTTAGCCTCGAAGATGCCGTTGTTTGTTTTTCGAGCTGTGAAGCATGCAAATTGACAAAGGCTGCTTCGTGTATCCTTTGAGCCCCGCGCAGGACAAGCAGTGCCACATCGTAATTAATGGCAGTCAGTGGGTAGGGAAATTCGCTGTTTGGAGCTACCCTATGCTCCAGCCTTGGGACATCGAAGTCTGGGAGGCCGTCCCCCTCCCGAAACATGCAAAGCATGTTTGCAATAATTCGCTGTGCTGTACCCGGCTTGGGCCGTCGGCCTGCGCAATTCGCGGCGCCGACTTCGACGGCGACGTTTTTATGTTTAGTAGCGATCCAGATTTGCTGGAGCTGCTGGCGCTCACACCGTCTGGTCGTGATGTGCCCGAGTTTTCCAATGCTGTCAAGGAAGTCCGGACCCGTTTGGAACGGACTACCAAACAGCCAATTCACAACGCAAGTGATTTTCAACGTTTCACCCTGGCCACCAGCACTGCTATGCCTGCGCGAGGCCTTGCGTGTATGTATGCCGAAATGGCACAACACGCCGCCATTGTTTCACCAAACCCTTCTTCCGACGGGTCTTTCGTTCGCGCGGTGGGTCTCGCAGAATGCGCCCATTGTGCAAACGATTGCCCTAAGAAATTCGACACCGTCGCCGTCGTGCATTTTTCCCAGGCCCTGTTGGCAAACGCCGGGTTGCAACGTAATTCGCCCCGGAGCTCCAGTGCGGCGGCAGGGAAACTTCGGATCCGGCCGGGTGACCCGTACGAATGTTTAAACCGCATGCTTCCATCTGGCAGTCGGTTCGGACGAGTTTGGCTCCCCGACGCCAAAGTTTGCCTCTCCGCGGCTGCGGGCAAAGCCCTCGGCGAGCGAATCCGAGCAGGCGCTTCGCGGGAGGACGGTTACGCTGAAGAAGCAGAGCGAATTGCTCTGGATGAACTTGGCGGGCTGATTGCCCACAAGCTTCAGCGCAAGGATGTTCCAAAACCATTTAAGTTGGGGCTCAACGAGCTCTGTGCCTTGGCCTTGGAACACAAGTGGCGCAACTCGCCAATCCAATCGATTCTCACCTTGAAAGATAAGCTTCTTCGCTGATTGCCCTTGTCATTGAAGACAGACATTCACGAGAAAATCTCAAGCCTTGTCTGCTTAACTTTTGCTTCATTGTTGTCCTTCGACCAGTGCAATTGCTCGAAGAAGTTTTTCATCATGGTGGACCGATGGTATTGTCTTCCAAAGGCCCTTTTCAACTTCGTCCTCGTAATCTCGAAGCATGAAGCGACCAGCAACAATATGGTTTCCAAATTCTGTTGCTTCAGCCGTAGCTGATCCACCTTTTTGATAAGACGCTGGCTTTATCAGTTTTGCTCGATTGTGTCTCACAAAGAGCGTTTTTGGTATGTGAGCCCGTCAGTGTTCGATCAATTTTGCTTCTTGCTTCGGAGCTCTTTCTGTACGATTACGCTCTTCAGCGGGCTGTGTTAATCGAAAATGATTTTTGAATCGAACCAATTATATATATATGATATATGTATATATTTTGTTTATTAATTCATATCATAGAAAGATATATTTCATGGAAATAGATTTAAGAAAAATCACAAAAGCGAAAATAGTTTTATGGTATATATAATTGAAAAATGAAATAGATCAATAAATATTTATATATTTTTATGGTTTTTAATTGAACATGACTTTGAACTACTTATTATAAATATATTTTTTTGTTACTATTAATTCATATCATAGAAAGATTTACATCATGGAACGATACAAAAATCATGGAAATATTTAAATTATTGGATTTTTTTATAAAAGCAAGACCAATATTAGTCAAAAATCGATTTCTTGGTACGCCCTACCTTCACCCCAAGAGCAAACTGCTTCATCAATGAATTTTTGTCGGCATTGACATCGCTACTTGTTCGGCCACACTCCTCTCCAGTGAGCCGGACCACAGAGACCAGCCACAGAGTTCAGGGGCGCGGCCAAGACAAGGACAAGAGGAGGACAAGACCCGGACACAGAGCCGGGCCACAGACACAGAGTTCAGGGGCGCGGCCGAGACAAGACAAGAGGAGGACAAGAAGAGGACAAGGCCCAGCCACAGAGGACAAGAGGAGGACAAGGCCCGGACACAGAGCCCAGCCACAGCCCAGCCACAGAGTTCAGAGGCGCAAGAGGAGGACAAGGCCTGGACACAGAGCCCAGCCACAGAGGACAAGAGGAGGACAAAGCCTGGACGCAGAGCCCAGCCACAAAGGACAAGGGGTGGAGACAGAACAGAGCCCAGCCACAGAGGACAAGAGGAGGACAAGACCTGGATACAGAGCCCAGCCACAACAGACAAGGGGTGGAGACAGAACAGAGCAGCCACAGAGGACAAGAGGAGGACAAGGCCTGGACACAGAGCCCAGCCACGGAGCCCAGTCACAGAGTTCAGGGGGTGTGGCCAGCTCTTTTGTTTCAAGAAAGAACCCCAGCAGTAAACTGTTTGGGGAAAATCATGGACAGCGATAGATTGTGGCTATAGCAAGGTTGGAGTCAGTCGCAAGCTATCAAATGATGTCTTGCTGTTGCTGAAGTTGTAATCTGCGCTTTGGTGGCCCAAGCTTGCATTGAGCTTTTTCGGAGCAGCTTCTCTTGTGGGTTTGATGGCGGTATCAGCGAAGCGAGCCGCCGCCGCGCTGGACGCCCGCAAGGGGCAAATCTATGACAACCTGGAGAGCTGGCTTTGGGCAATGTGCATTGCACCCCGCTCTGGGAGGAGGATGCTGATCAACGATGCGACGGCGCCTCGCACCGTGAACCCTCGGACCGTGGAAGTAGAGAATTGAAGACCAACGCTTTTACCATTAGGCTATGGAAGCCTTTGAGTGGAGGAGCCAACCCAACTAGACCATATTAAAGAATGCAGGTTGGAGGTCATCGCTAGTGGCTTGGAGGCCACTGCTACTAGGGACAGCCGTTTTGGCTTTTGAGAGGCGTCCTGTTGTTGGAGGGGGGCATAGCATCTCACACACAGCCTCAAGCCTGCAAGCTTGGTTGAGCCAGTGTTTTTCACTGGAGTGAATTTAGCGAACAAGGCGAGCATGGCCTAGGACAGGACAAGGGAGCCTTCTCAGAGAACTGGTGGCTGGCATGTTGAAGGAAGCAGAAGCCAAAGCCTCCAACCTCTTCAAAGGTGAGCTGCAGACTTTGGAAGCTTGCGAGCACCATTTTCACAGTTGGCGCAGGCAGCATCGAGAGAGGGAAAGGTTGGAGACAGAGTTACCAGCAACTGCTGTCCTTGTTCAACTGGACTACGCGGAGAATCTGACGATACCGGTTGGACCGGTAGAGGAGCAGTCTTGGTTTTGGGCAACAGCGCGATTGAGTGCTTCAGTTTTGTGCTTTTGTGTGAGATTCTGGGAGGATGGGAAGCTCCGAAGCCTGTACTTGAACTATGTTTCTCAAATCCTGGATCATACAGCTCTTCACGCAGCACTTGCCTTGAAGGATGTGGGCCACATTTTCCCGCATATGCTTTCGTGGCGACTGCCATCGATCTTCTGGAAAACTCATCATGGTCTTCTGTCACTTTTCACTATGAGAACATCACGGCAAAGGCCGGAACGATGGACAGTTTGGCCTACAGAAGAAGTGGCTGGACTCGCGTGCCAGCAGGTGTGTGATTGGCACAGTGCGCGAGCTGCTTCGTGCGTTGAGCGAGGGTGCCGAGAGCACCATGACATTGGGCCCACCACCAGCTGGACCAGAGTACAAGATTGTCCATTTTCATCCTGACAAGCCCCCAACTTTTAGATATTTGGACAACAGCAGAGGCGATCTGAAGAATTGAGTATACATACTGCCTTTCTTTCCGCCAGACAGGGAGCTCCAACTTCCCAGTCAGGATGAAGGATTGCGTCTACTCTGACAGGATGTCTGGCCCGTTGCAAGGGGGCAAAGAGTTGGGGGTTGCTGTGTCCACCATCAAGCCTTGTCAGGACTCGGACTGGAGAGTGTCGTACAGGAAAGACACACCCGAGTCTGACCCCTTGCCATTTGATTTGCTAGCCCGTCGTTTGAGTGCCCAGCAACGGGCAAAGACTGGCGCAACTTCCAGACGGAGCCCGCTGCTGGAGCAGCTCCGCGCAGAAGAGGAGGCGCGGGCAAGGAAGAGCATCAAGGCTCGTAGAGAGAGGCTGGGCTTGACAGCGGCAGCAGCAAGCAGCGAGGAATCATCGTCGGATTCCTCTTCTTCAGAAACGTGAAGCGTGTAAGCCACAAAACCTTTGCTGGTGCGAGTGGAAAAAGCACTAGCAGAAGCCGGTAACTTGAGTATTGAAGTGATCCATACAGGGCCTTAACGACCAAAACGACCAAGGCCACTAGATTCAACCAAAAATTAAATAATTTATTGAAATCCCCTAAGCAGGACTCGAGCCCTGACACCGTGGAAGCAGCGAGTTGAAGACCGATGCTTTAACGATTAAGCTATGGAAGCCTCTGAGTGGAGGAGCCAATCCAACTATACCATATTACAGAAGGTGCCAGAAGACAAGATAGTGGAAGGCCAAGCAGAATTAGCGGCAACCAGTAACCAGTGTTTGGAGTGAGCCTCCAATCTAGAGGGCTGAAGCCACCACCTATTAAATGACTTGAGAGCCCACTGAGTCACCTAATACGCGTGGCCAGCTAATGGCCTTTTTAGGCTTCTTGTATCGTCTTCTTGAGCCAAAACAAGGGTTGGAGAAATGAGCCCCGACGCTCATTTCCACCACTGTACCCAACCATGGCCCAATATGTGGACAGTGGGGCCCAATGAATTTAGCAGCGGCCAGTACTTCAAAACAGGCTTGCCACAAACAGGATGGCTTTGATCTGGGAAGCCACCACCTTCACAGTGAATTGGTGAGAAAGTGGTGGGGTGGAGCGCCACCATGCAGATGTGTTTATATCGGGGGCTTGGATCAAGTGACTTGTCGGTTTGATCCATAGGGCTTGGACCAGCACTGCAGCGCGGAACGATCCATACCAGGGTTTCTGGCCACACTCATATTGGCAACTGATCATATGTGCATTTGTCCCGTGTGTTCACGGACAGTCCCGCTTTTACTGGTTTGCCCAAATGCCTGTGCGCGGGTTGCTCGGGAAAGGTGATATTGTTTGAATTTGAGTCCTGCTCAACAACACCAAAAACACTCAGGAAGTTTTACCGTGGTTTAGCGCGTTTCACCGGCTTGGGTGCTTCACCGGGCGAGTGTCCACCATTATTTGAAGTTCTCGCGTTTTTGTTCTCCCTGGTGTTGGAGTTTCTTGGTTGACTTTGACGTATTGGAATTAGGGTGAATGGGTGGCTTCGTGGCCGTCCTCCACGCGCTGGGCCGTCCCCATTCTTCCCCAGCCTCGATCCGTCCAACCATGACGAAGCGTCCAGGCGAAGTTCCAACATGCCTTGGTGTCTTGGAGGTGGACAGGTCTGAGAGGGGGATCATTCATATACCAGAACCCCCAAGGGGTGGTCGACACCCGTTAACAGCTAAGGGGCTATAAATAGACACCCCGACAGGAGGGTCCTGGTATGTTTAGACATGTTTGGAGGCTTGTTTTTTTTTTTTTTGGACTGTTTAGATGTGTCTTTTGTGGCCACAATCTGGGATCTCAAAGGTTCGCTTTGAAGAACCAGGATCACCCCCACAGTGACCTTTGCTCAACAGGGAAGTTGTTTGTTGCAACCCTGAACACTCCTGATTACACCGCAAGAGGTCTGTCATGTTCGGATGTTCGACCTACCTGAAGCGGCGTGCTGTTTGCATCTTTGTGTGAAAGGTCTGGAGGCTTTGGGAAAGACAGAGAGAGAGCCAAATTTGGGGGAGCATGGTCTTCCCCACTTGCGAGTTCCTGAGTCCTCAGGTCTTCAAAGAGTGGATTCCAGGTGATCCCAAATCCTTTCTTCGCTCAACAGATGATCGGTGCCGAAGATTGCCAAAGCAAGGCCTTCCAGAGCGCTGCAAGGCTACCTGAAGGCCTTCTGACAGAGGGACTGAGGACTTGATTTGGCCCATCGTGATGATCGTGATAGTCAAGGAATCGAGGGAGTAGAGTGGAGGCATTTTTCGGACTTCCTACTTCGTTGGTGTTTTTGGAGAGGCAAAGCACCCTGGAAGGGCCAACTAACTCACTTGGCAAACATCCATGGCTGCAAGTGTGTTTTTTTCTGGGTGGGCCCTTGGAGAGAAGACATCTCAGGCCCCGGTGTGGCTTGAAGGTCACACCGGGAGGGACGGAGTCGACCCTTTTTCCGGTCCGAAGGGAGAGGAGAGCGAGAGCTGTGTTTCGCTGAAAAGAGGATGAGAAGAAGTGAGACTTTCCAAAGTGACCCCCATAAGAATGTGAGACTTTGTATGGGCAAAAGGGATTTTCAATTCCAAGGGCTCGGCTGGGGGTTCTCCCATAGACATCCACATACACATTGAAAGCATGGCAGATAATTGTGGTTCTCACGCGAGGCTCACGAAGACCTTCTTTGGCGGTTTCATCGAGGAGGAGGGATGGGAAGCCAGGACAAGGCGCTAATTTGTCTTCGGCGTGGGTCACCGGGTTGGACTTTGGACTGCATGAGGTTGGACTTTGTGGAGAGAAATATGTTTTTTTGGAGAACATGTTGAACATCTTCTTGTACCCTAGATGTTTGCCTTCCTTGATCTTCTTTACTATATTGATTTGCGCCGAACATCTTCAAACCGGCGCCTTCCATTGTATGTCACGGGGTCCGGACGCCCAAGCCCCGTCTTCCGATGGGTGAGACGGAGCTTAGGTGTGAGTCTGGGTGATTCATTGGAGCTGAAGAAACCCGTCGCTTCGCATGTGGGCCAGGCGTTGGTGTATGTGTGCACAGCAGGGTGCTCAGCCTAGGCGGGACAGTGCTCAGGCATCCAGGAGTGTTGACTTGTGAGGTTCCTTGTGAAAGAAGCACACTTGTGGAGGCTTTGGGCACAAGCACAGCACTATAAATTTATATAATTACTCCCTCCACAATCAAGTGCCTGAGGCTCTCATGGAATACACATTCGGATTCGGCAACAACGTTTTGCAGAAGGTGTTCCAGGGAAGAGTTTCAGGATGTTTCAGACATTCTTGTTGCTTTGCCCGGCAAAAACATTCTCGTAAGCTTTGCTTGCTTGGCATTGAGACATATCCCCTTTATTGAAAAAAAAACTGGACGGCCACCGTGCCACATTTGCCACATTTGTCCGGTCCGGCACAGACCCGCTTCGATGAACACGAAGCGTGGCAGTTCCGGTCGGTGGGGGAGACCCCCGCTGAGGGCATGAGCTATTGCGGTGGCCATGGAGATCGACTGAATGGGATGCTTGGTCGGGGTCCTCAGGATCGATGGAGCGCTGGTGACATGTTCGTTCGCTCGGATGATTGACCGATTCACCTTCTTTTAAACTGTATATATATATAACAATTAATGTGATATAATTATCGTAATATATTTCTCTATATGTCTATAGTAATTATTATAGTATGATACTGTATATATAATGCATTTATATATACATACCCTGGTAGTCAAAGACTATAAAAAGAATGGTCTTTAGGGGACCTGAAAGGGAACTTCCTTTACCTCAGCCGGTCAAAATATAGTCTTTGGACTTCGAGGGTATATATATATATATAGTTGTTTGCGCCAGAAGCCCCAGCTGCACACAAAGTGTTTTTGCTAGATAGCAAGGTGACCCCTTCAAGAGATGTATTGGAATGCTATATTTGGAACACTTGTTGAGTCTTTCGATGCTTTTTGGATGTCGCTGGGCCCTGTCCCACGGTTTCGGCCTGTCAGGCGCCTTCACCTTGGCCCTGCTGTCGGGCAGAGCCTTTTTCATCGATTCCCAATGGCCCGTGCCCTTGAGCTTAGCCAGGGGGTCTCAGAAGTGAAGAACGAGCAAAGATGTGTTTTCGGAGTGTGACGTACTCAACCTGATGGTAATTTTCAGCATGGATGTTGAGGGGTTTGGCATTTATGACATCATCGTGTGGTAGTGAGGATGGTGAGTAAATCCATTGCACTCACCCTTTCCACCTGTCAACAACTCTGGGTGTCCAGGTCCTTCAACCCAAGACGTCTCTGGACTGGCGCATGTATGGCTCCCTGGCAGTGCTGCCAGTTTGGGGAACCCAGTTAGGGGGCGCCTCTCGTCCAGTGTGGGGTGGGCACTGGGTTCAGGGATGGGAAAGCTCAACTATCTAGCAGGCAATGAAGTCAACTGGCCACATGAAACGCACCATCGGTGTTTGAACTTCACCCCTCGAGCCCTCGGCCTCCCATCGACTCTGTCCCACGTGACGCGACCGTGTCGTTCGGAGCTCCGGGAGGGCGAGCCACCGGCCGGCAGCAAGGCGGGGTTCAACTTCAACGACAACCTGGCAGCTTTTGAGACGGACCCGCGCCGGGCCTGAGTACTCAGATCAGCTTCGGCGGAGCATGGTGAAAGCGAGTGAAAACGGTGCCGGCCAGAAATTCGAGGGAGCGGCCAGGCAGAGAGTGGCAAAGGGGCAGATAGGGCTTAGGGCATGACGCATTTGCACATTCCACGCGTTATTGCAATTGATGAAAAGGATGAGGTGGCATATTCCAGGGCCCCCAGGCCAGGGGTGTCTAATTATAGCTCCTTAGAGGTTAAGGGGTATCCATTAACCACCCCTGGCTCGGGGGCACTGGTTGCATATGTTTCATGAGGTCTAGCATGGGTCTCCAGGTCCACCCATGCTGGTTTCAGGTTGAAAGACCCACCCAGGAGGTGGTTTGGTCTCAAACTCTTGACTCTTGATCAATGAAACCTACCATTTGGATGCACGGACTTGCGGACGGTAATCGACGCGCCCCCACTCAATCCCTTGCTGCGGGCTTTGAGTATAGTCAAGAGTGTATATATTATGAAAACTAGCACAACTTTAGAACAGGTCGCTCGGTCACCCAACGCAGCTGAACTCTATGACTGCAGCTGTCGGTATTAAATGCCCCCTGTATATTCCTGCTTGGCCCATCCAGCTGGAACACCCGCCGCCTGGGCCACCAGCCGCCGCTGGTCGTCGACCTCGCACTGAGGTCCTGGAGAGCCAGGAGAAGGTCTTGCGCATCGTCTCCAACCAACGTGCGGAACACCCAGCTCTACAGACAAGCGCTCTGCACGTTGGGGCCATAGCAGTGATGGCTACATAGCAAAAACAAGGATGGGACCAGACAGTCTTCGATTCAGTTGCAGGATGGTGTTTTGGAGGCTTCCGCCAAAAATGGAAAAGGTCTTGTGCAGAGGGTTTGTTAAATCCAACACCTTTCAGATTGGCTTGGAAATAAAGCTTCCTGGGACAATCATAATAGAAGATTGCCAGAGGTTCTGCTGTGGGGTACTCGAGGATGGGTTCAAAAGTTCATGTGAGCAATCCATCATCCTTGGTTCATCAACTAGACCATACGTCCATATACTCTGTACAGATGTGCACCGAATTTGCAAGGCAGCAATCAAGTCCTGCCGTCAGGCGGGTGTGGGTCCATGAATTTATGTTGTGATGTGTCTCAAAATGTCCCAAATACGGTCAGCACCTGAGTAACTGTTCCTTCTTGATCATATAGATTCTGAGAGGGATCATATGGGATCATATGGGTGTGGTTGGTTTTTTTGTTTTTTGTTTCACTGCAGCATCGAACCCAAGGCCTCCGGCCACGGCCGGCTTGGCCGGAACACCGTCCCGAAGACCGAAAGGGTTCTCCCTCCGTTCGTGTGGACCCGACCCACTTAGGATTGACGCCAGCGGCCTTGAAGAGCTCTCCGCAGCGCGCGGAGGCTTTGGGTCCGTCGCTCGGTGAACGACGCGGTTTTGCGCTCCGCGAGCGACGCGGTGGTCCTTTTTGGGGCGTTGGGCGTTGGAAAGAAGGATTTAAAAGCAAGACTACTATGCAATGACTGTCGACGAAGCTATAAGCTTGGTATCCGACAGATGTTTACGAGTGAGCAATCTTCGGGCAATGCTTTGCTATTATAGGCTATATATATATATAGGATTATGAAGAGCTAGCATATTCGTTTCATAAGATCCTAGAGTGATGGAATCGTGCTACTTACATGCAGTTGAAACTATATACCTCACTTCTGCGTGTCATCATGCCGGAAACTACGCCCTTGGGGTGCGGTCCCGACACCTTTTCCAGGTGTTACATCCCCAAGTGTATCTGCGTATGTAAGAAAACATGTGCTTGCGCTCCCTCTCTCCCCCTCTCTCTCTCTCTCTGTCTCTCTCTCTCTCTCTGTCTCTCTCTCTCTCTCTCCCTCTTCCTTTTTTTTATGCTTGCTTCCGTCGCCTTTCGTCCTCAATGTCCAAAACGCCCCGAGGCCTGTGGGAGCCGCGGCTGCACCAGCGCCTCTTCGAGCTCCTCTTCGAACCGTCCGGTGTTCCATGAGTCCGACTGGGTCCGGGGTTTCCACGGGTGGTTCAGGAGTGTCAACACAGGTGTCTTTGGACGAACTTCGAATGGAAAGAAATAGATCAAACCAAGAACACTTGGCATGACAACTTGGTATTTATGGGATTTGATTAGTAGTTCCAACATCCTAGATCCTGTCAAATTGTTTCCTGAAACCTATAGTAATTATCGTATATCAGCGGGTTCATCTCGATTGATGGCAGCCGCCTCATTTGTTCACTACGTTTAAGAGCGTCAAGGACTCTTGAGGACTCCACACTGAGGTCGCCTGCTCTGCTGAAGCGTTTGCAGCAACGCCACTTGCCCGAAGGCCGTCTCATAGGCTCGGGCCTGAGACGACGTCAAATCGAAGTGACATACAAAAACGCCATGAAATCGGAGGATGACTTATGAAGGATGACTTGATTGCAGGTCATCCACAGTCAATCCAGGTCAATCCGCTGTATAGGACTCAGCACGCACCCCAGAAGTGAATAGGATTGGGTGTGGGTCAGAACGTCTAAGAAAGTCCTTTTCTACCTAGCACTTCCTTACTGGGTGCAATGGAGACCTGTTTACGTAAGGTAGGGTAGTCTAGCCAGGACACCCAGACAGGATGACCCTTACGTATCATCCTTTTCCTTTTTTTATGTTGATACCAAACCGGGAGACACCGACCCAACCGGGTTGTGGATGGCCGTTTTTTCGAACCTTCCAGGGGCCTTGCCGGCGGTCGGTCTTCCCTATGGAACAATCCCTCCAATGGTCACTGAGGCACAACTTGAAAGACCTGGAACACGGAAAGCAGCGCAACATGGAACACGAAAGCAGCGTAACATGACAGTGCGAAAGCCAACGTTGAAGTCCCTGCAGTCTTGACTTATCAGCACTTACTTCTGTGCTTTTTCTGGTCAGGACTGCATTTCCGGGCCGGTGATCAAATGCCCCAGCATTGGAAGGACCTCCGGAATTTCGTTCGACGTACACGGTTGCGTGGGGGAAACTAGAGTTCAAAGTACTTTTCAAAGTATCTCTTTTGAGAGTTGGAAGAAGAAGTGAGTTATTCATGCATTTGCCATGAATGATTTGCGTTGTTTCCTTTGGGGAGTGTCAAGAGACCCCCGATTGGCGATTGTTAGGACATGGAGGTTTTAAACCATTGGTTTTGGAAGCGTGTTTGATTCACTGATGTTCTTGAGAATTCTTGAGATGTTGCTGAGTTCCAAGGCCTAAGCAGAGTCTCAGACAAGTTGAGCCATTTGCCCTGACTTATTATTGGTACTTGATGATTCTTGGAAGCCCTGCAAGTAGGGGATTGTAGCACGGGAGACAAGATGTTCTAAATTCGGCGTTTCAGAAGAACATAGAAGAACACAAAGCATCAAAAAACTGCTTGTACTGTAAGAGCCTGCATTTTGTTTGAACATCCAAGCCTTGCCAGACGACGTACTGATGTTCCCACCCATTACATTCACATGTGCAAGTGCCTGAGCATGTGAGCATCTCGTGGCATGTGTCCAGAAAATTGGGGGTAAACAGGAGGAAGACTGGCCTCCAACCAATAAAAGCGTGCTTGCTCCAAGTAGCATGGCTTCCAACCTGTTTGCTACGGCCTCCACCCAATAGTGTCCTTGTTACTAACGCTTTTTTCATGGTTTTTTCCAATGTTTTCTCGCCACCGCACGGCCCTTCAGGATCCACCTCGGCATGCGCTGGCGCAGCTGGACGGGTGGACGAGTTACTGGACATGTTTTCGGCTGGTAACTATATTCGGAGGTGTTGGGGCAAAATTTGGTGAGAGCCTTTGGTTGCTGAAATTCTGTGAGATTCGAGAGATACACTCAATGAGTTCGACCATTTGTATGAGAATCTTAGTTTTCACCATTTAGAGTGAGCCGCCGACATGCAGCCACTTCTCACAGGTTCGATGCAAGTCATCTCATTTCCTTGGATCTTGTTTGGGACTCATACCTGATTCGTCTTGTTGGTAAGAGCAGGTATTTTTTTCTTCCTCAAGCTTCACTGCTGAAATAGTGTGATGGCGCCTTGCACCCATGCAATCTCGTCACCTTTTTTAGCTTGCACACTTGCATGATGGGGTAGTTGCCATGTGTCTCCTGTCGGAAGTCTGGCCATCGAATTGAAAACCAGTCGTTGAACTCCAGACGCTTCGGAATCGGAGCAGGAGGAGTTCTTGAACTGCGCCGAGCAGCTGGAAAAAGATCAAGGCAAGCAGCCTGGACCCCCCATCCGGTCGAGCTGAGGAAAAGAGGTCGAGCCCCAATCCATAGGCTTTTGGGGGCACTGGCCAGTAGATGCTTAGCGTTCTGCCCTTTTGCTGCAACTACGCTGGAGGATCACATACATGGTCTGCTGATTTTTGGCTCTGTCCAAAGAATCTCTCCACCCATGCTAGCCACGCTAGGTGATTGTCCCATCTTCTGGTAGAAGTGTTGTGTCTTTCCCTGGCCCTGAAAGGACACCAGGTTTGGCCCAAAGCCATTTGCACACTGGCTTCACCTAGCTGCTCGTTTTTTCAGCCACCGCAAGCCAAGCCACCCTTAAACATGCGCGATGATGCGGGGTGGTTTGTCGATCGTGGGCATGGCGCAGGTTGGAATGCGACCTTTCTTCTTTTCGCCGACACTGACAAAGTGACAGACCTGCCAAAGGTGCAGGAGAACAAGTGGCAGAGATGGGTTGAGAAGGTAAACTGGAGAACTGGATGTGAATTTCCCAAGTCAAACCGGATTCGCTTCTATCCCACCTGACTCATTGGCCTCGCCAGGAGCTGCAAGCCGATGGAAAGCTGGCTTGGGCACCCAGACTCGAGAACTCATATGAGTTATATGATAGCACTATATGAGTTATAGTGTGCTGTATATTGTTATAGTGTGCTCATATGATAGACCGCTCACACTATACAATATACAACTCATATGAGTTATAGTGTGCTGTATATTGTGCCCGTCGGTTTTTCCGCGATTTCTGCTTGTGGCCCGAGAATCCAAGAGGCCGAGACTCCAGCCCGCAAGTTCGCTTGGAGAAGTTTCGGAGGTTCGTGCCGAGTGAGCTGACCAGTGTTTGTATTGGCGCATTTTATTGTGCTGAGTTTAATTCATGATCAGTTGGACCAGTTGCCTAATGGGTGAGGCGTTGGCTTGCATCGCTGTGATCAGCAGATGACACCATCTTCTGGAGGTTTGACTCCTCCCTGGTCCGTGCATTGTCGTTTTTGCTTTGCGTTGCTTTTGCTCAGTCGTTGTTTTCTGATTATCGGACCAGCCGCCTTTCCTATCAGCTCTGAAATTCTTCATGCGAAGGTTCCCCCACCTGAGATTTTTGCATGTTGAAGTTGAAGCGTTGATCATTGTTTTTCAGTGGCATCGGTTTCGATGCCTACCATCATGAGGTCCTCCCAGAGAGTGATGGACTGGTGCACTTGGCCACTGGGACTGGAGGCGTTACCTCCATGGGTTTTCAAGGAGGTGAAAGGACCTGCTTGGGATGGAGACTACTTGAAGCATCGGATGGTTCCACAGGGTTCTGTAGCTCGGTTCGACAGACCGAGAACCAGGAACGGAGAACCGGTGTTCAGGATATAGACCAGTCGACCCCATGGGAGACCGCTGTCGGGGGGTCGAGACCGGATGTTAATCCACTTGTGACTCGTGACCCTTGTGACCGGAACTTGTTGGAGAGTTGGCCAGTCGAAGTGCCTTGAAGTGTTTAGATGCAGGCAACTTCTATTATCAACTTGGTCCTTTGTCGTGAAGTGGACTCAACGCACCGGTTGTCCTCCATGAGATCCATGAGAAGAGCTGAGCAGAACATGTGCAGTATCAAGCAGTCTCCATGATAATGTATCAACAATGTGTGTTGATACAAAAAGTTGCATCAACCTGCCCAAGGACACTTTAAAACATGAAAAAACAACATACAAAAACCATCAAAAACACATGCAGCTGAAACAGCGAGAATGTGACCTCCTGGCACTGGTGACCGATGCACCGTCCGATGCGAACTAAGGATCGGTCGCCTCCGACCTTGACCGTTCCACTCTCGGATCGATGGATCGATGGATCGTGGGGTCTTCATGAGCTCGTTTGAAGCTGGTGCTTCACAGCCGACCCAAACGTTGAGTCAGTGGCTTTGAGTAAAAGAAACCCAAAAGGCAGGTCCCCCAAAGAGCCAGGAGCACAAAAACACGTGGATACAACCATCCCCGAGGTGCTCCAGGCCAAGGCAGTTCTTGTGTTTCTTTGATTTTTTGGGGGCCTGGATATCCACTGAGCAGTACTGAGCAACAAACACCTCACCCACCCTCCCCAAAAAAAACAAGACACTCACTATCATCTCCATCTACATCACTACCTCGACCCATGTCGCGCTCCCATCGAACACATCGACCGTCATCGACCTGTCTCCCGAGGTCCGAGGCGTGTTGCAGACCTGGGCGGATTGGTGGACCTTGGCCTTTGATGTCGACGCGTTGGTGCTGAGCCACAGTGGCACCTCGGCCTTGGGAGGTGGAGGTCCGGTGGAGGTCCGGTGCCGGGAGAGCTCTACACCGAAAAGCCAGGAACATCGGATCCACTCGACAGGACCGAATTGGAGCTCTCGAAAATGCCAAATAGACAATGGGATGATATGGGTGTGGGTGTGTGTTTTTTTTTTTTTCTGAGCATTACTGAGCATGCGCAAACCTGGTCAGTATCTCGAGATCTCTTGGGGCAATTTGGGTTCCTGGAGAAGTTCTAGGCCCTGAAGACGACATTCATTTCGGGGTGCGATCTCGGAGATCCACGTGTAGTGTAGGAGATGCCCAAGGATCGGAAGGTGCTGAGATAGATTAGATTTGAGATCGCAAGCCAGTGAGGAAGGTTGAAGTTTGAAGGTTTCTTGGATAATATGCTCATCAATTGAATATGCCCACTTGTGCTATTTGGTCCAAAACCTTGAACAGCTCGCCTCGCGACCCGCCTGACCCGCTCCATGAAGCTTTGCTCAGTGCCTTGGATGCACTGTTGCTTTTCAGAGTGCAGAGGCCATCGATGGGCGTCGTCTTTTTTCAGAGACTACCGAAATCTCGCCTGGGTAGACTTAGTAATTTAGGGTCGGGAAAATCTGGAAGGCCTCTCAAATTATCCCAATCTATTTGAGCTACACAGGCCATGAAGCATGCACTTGGATGAATCGAACTTCACACTTATCGGGACTATAGCAACCATTTCTCTTGCAGGTCCTCCTGTTGCTGCTTGCGATGCCAGTGGACGTGCGGAACCCAGTCGCACTCAGCGTTTTCCAGTTGCGGGTGATGACAGTGATGGGCCAATAAAGGGTTTTGGGGCGCAGTTCCGCGACAGACAGCGAAGAGAGGACCGCCCTCCTGCAGACGCCAGGACACGGTCATGGAGCCGATGTCATCGATGACGAGCTTGATCACGATGAAGCCGCACAAATAGAACCCGGAAGTGGCGTTTCTGATGGCGATTGTAGGCGCCGCCGGCGAGATGGATACAGAAACAACTATGGCTGTTGTGACTACTGCCGGCGCCGACGACGCATGGGCACACAAGATTCTGATCATTGGGATTGTAGCTCGTGCGTGTGGTAGAGACGTTTTGTTTAGAAGCCGTGCCTGAGTTGCTGGGATATGAAATTCTGCTTTAAAGCCTGCGCCCTTTTCCTGCGGCGAGCAAGTATAACAGTATATCAGATTATATATTAGGAGAGTCTCTCCAGATCTCTCCAGGCTGCTGCGGTCAAAAGAGTCGCCTGATGAAACCTGGTGAAATATCTCGATCTACGCATGGCACTTCGGCCACATTCTACGCCAACATGAATTGACACTCCCGAAGACTCATAACATGAAGAGGATGATCTATTTTCCTTACCACATTTTTGGAATGTTGTGGTTGCTTGCTTGGCCAAATACGAGCAAAAAGGGTAGGGGTCTCCATCCTCAAAGGCATTGCTTGGGAGTCCACAACATCCAAGTCCAAGCTCCAACTCCAAGCGCGCATTGTGGGCACCCGCGCGGGCGAAGGGGTGTTGAGATATGAGTGAGTAGGTCGGTGAGTCGTTGATGGAAAAGAACGAATTCACCCAATTGAAATCCTGGAGCGAAATTGTGCGAGCGAAGTCGTGCAGCCACTGGTGTGGCATGAAGGAAACGTGTTTCTCAAGTGAAAAAAGGACAATGTGTTCTCCATATGATGGACGAACATTGACAGAGTCATGTACATCACTGGGCAAAGGAAGCTTGCATGTTCCGCACAAAATCGGATGTGGGGCGTTCAGCACCAGAGCCACAGCTCCCATTGAAGAAAACTGCATGGACCCGTTCTGGACTCGTTCCCTTCGTCCGAGGCTTCGGCGCCACCGCCCTGGAGATCGGCCCGGAGCGGCCGGCGGTCACCCGGAGCACAAGGAGGTGAGGCCCGGTTGGTTCAAATCACCAGAGGTTCAACATCCAAAGTACATCGATCTGGTGGTGAGGTGAGCTTGATGAAGCCAGAATAAGCCAGATGTATCCATGCATCTATAGATGTTATTGTTTCTGTATGTTCAATATACTGTAAGTCGTTCCAATTGAGGATGAAATTGAGGGATCAAAGATCCAAGGGTGAGGATGACCCCCCCGGCGATCGCGTGATCGCAGGTGTTGACATGTTGGTGTCCAAAAGCCTCCCGGAACCCTACGGATCGGCTGTTCAGTCCGGTCTTGGGGACGGGCTTCTTGGCTTAGTCCTCCAATCGATAGTCAAAGAATGTCAAAGATACACCCCAAACGAACAAGGAACCTGAGGATTGACCAGTGGAAGACCATTTTCCTCTACAACCCAGTAGTTTTGAGGTTCCATGTGGTCCTCTGCAGGGGGGTAATGATCAACAAGACATGCTTCTGGCAACACACTTTTCTTTCCAGAAGCTGCAGCGAACGACTCAACGAAACGACTCGCCGGAACTATAGACTAGTCAGGAGCAGAACGTTTCACGCAAGGCGCCACTTCATTGTATACAGTACCACCTCATTGCCTCACCTTGGCGCCACATTGCATTCCGCATGGTCTATGAGACGTGTGGTAGTGGTGCCACATCAGTGACGATATTTGCTCAGCTGCACGGTTTTTTGAACGTCACTTCATCCTTTGACTTATTGGACACCCCGAAGTCACTTGTGAAAATGGATGGAACGCGGGAACGTCACCCTTGGTTTGGTATTCAGAACCACTCAAAGTTTAGATTCTATTACTGACCTTTGGCATTCAAAGGAAAGACGGACAAGAATTCCAGGACCTCGAGCAGGTCAAATGGACATCGAGCGAATTGATTTGCAGTTGATCACCGGTGAATCCGCGGTCTAAGGTTCTCGGCTCCAAATGCATCACAGCCGACGGCAGCACAGGCGAGAAGGGACATTGTATTTTGATGTGGGAGTAATTGTGTGCTTCTATTCAGGTTGATGATTGATTCAAACAATAATATCAATATGAATGTAGTATTGTATTATATTGAATTAGCTAAATCATATGTCATCGAATCATATAATATTAGATAATATAACATGTTAGTTGAATGATCGAAAATGAATATTAATTTAGATATTTGATTGCGATTAGACATATATTTTTTGGATTAGGCACTTAAATATGAAAACGATTTATATTGATTTATATTTACAATTTTAAGTAATTGATTTAAAAAATATATATATATAATATATATAATTTTATTATATATTGAAATAATATTAACAAAATAAAAATAGGAAATAAATGTATATGTAAAATAAGGACAATTAGAATATATAATAGATAAATATTTTATCGAATGGTTTATTGTTGGGATTTTATTTTAGAAAAGAGCTGGTTATATATATTGGTTGTGCATTGAATTTTATGATTGGGTTTTGTATCCGGATTTTATTTTTATTTTGGTTGGTCGCGCTTTGAATTTTGTGATTGAGCTTTGTGTCCGGGCTTTGTTTTTTTCTTGTTTTTGTTTTCGTGGTTGGGTATATTTTCTTCTTATTTTTTGTTTGCAATTAATACTATGGATATATTGATTGATTGTGCCTTTGAACTCTGTGGCCGGTCTTTGTAACCCTTTTGTTTTTTTTTATGGCCGGACAATTAACGATGTTAATGCCGATAAAAATCATTAATAAAGCAATTTGTTCTTCCGGGGGGGAAGGTAGAATTGTTTTTGATTAATATGTGTCCTAACGAATCGTTTGAAATTGTTTAGGGGTTGGTAAAATTGTTTATATGGTTTAATTATTCCGGCAAGAGACCCTAAATAATGTATGAGTGAGGTTTAGACGTGTGGTAGCAGAAAGTCTCGAGATTTAGACGTATTGGGGTCTAGAGAGGCGATGTAGGAATGGTGGCGGTGGTGGTACCGCAGGCGAGGCGAGGCTGCGAGGCGAGGTTATGAATGAGGCGAGGCTGTGAGTGAGGTTGAGAGTGTGAGTGGGAGCGAATGAATGAGAATGAAAATAAAAATGAATTTGAATATGAATATGGATGGGAATGAATAAATGGGAAATTATATAAATGATTAATATATATTTAAAAAAAAAAATATATATATGAAATTATAAGCACCATTGCTAGTTTAGATTCGTGCAGCCATTTCCCCCTAGGGTTTTTCTCGACCATGACGAGTCGTAACCGCGGTCTGTAAGAGATGTGGAGGATGTTCAATCTACGGATACTCCTATTTTTCTGGATGTTCCACGCTGCACCATCGACACACGACAAAGAGCTGGCAAGTCCGGTCCTAAGTCCGGAAGACATACTTCGGCAGCATGTTCGACAAGTCCCTGCACACAGTATGTCTGGCGTGAGGGTTGTCATAGGTTCTTCGTCCTGTGGCCAGAGTGCTTATATTGCAACCTCCAAGCAGAATCAGGTTGGCACGAAACTCAACGAGGCATGGGCGTTTGTTGGCTCCGGCCATATTTCTGACCCATCAAGATGTAAACGCATTAAAAGAAGCTTTCGTAGAGTTTGCAAGAGATCAATCCTTCATGGATGTGCTCAATATAAAGGAAAAGAGCTCTGGCCCTAGATGGTCCCCTTCAGGTTGAAATAACAGATCATGCCAGAACTTCGAGATAGACCAGCAGTCAAGCCAACCGTTGAGCCCTCCATGTCGTCGAAAGTTGAGGCTTTACAGATATTTAGCTGGAATGCATCTCAGAGCCTGCTGCTGGACGAATGGCTCTCGTGGTGTTCCTCCCAACCCTACACGTTGGTTCTGGTTCAAGAGACTGGCTGGAATCTCAATCGAAGATGGACTGCGCCTGGATGGTACATGATCCACAGCTCCGCAGGACGTGCCTCCACCCTGTGCATGGTTCGCACAACGTTTCTTCGACCGGATCAACTCATATGTGCAGATATGATTCCAGGCCGCCTGCAACACATACGGCTGTACCTAACTAGAGTGCATGATATCTTCAACATATATCAAGCTGCATGGAACACTACCAAGCCTCGTAATGTTCTTCTTGATGAACGAACCATGGTTTGGAAATCCCTCCAAGAGGCCATCAAACATGTTCCCAAGAACCACATGCTCTTGATTGCAGGAGATTGCAACACCCCGTTGAATATTGCACCTCCAGCCATCGAATCCGGAGATGCCAAATACAGTCTGGCTGCTCAGACAGATAAGCATGAATTTCAAAGATTAGTTCATGATCTTGATCTTTATGCACCTCATTGTCGTGGCAAATGGCAACCCACCTTCCAGCACGGCACTCATTCATCTAGGATTGACTTTATGTTCCTTAGGGCACATCAACATCAAGGCAGAAAACACCAAGCCAGGGTCCTCACTAGATTTGAACGATCTATGCCAAACGCTGGACCACAACACCATCCGTTAATCATTTCCCTGCCTAGATGGTTTGCACCTCCTCGACGAAATCCCAAACAGGCCCATATCGACCGCCACCAATTGAGGCAGGATTTCAAGATGCAGACCGAGAATTGGCAATTGTTTGAACACAAGATGCACGAATTGTTGCATCAGGTGCCAACTTCGACTGAATCCAACGCACTGGATACCTGCATGACAGTAGAACAGCAGATTCGTGACCTTTGTGTCATTCATTTCCCAATAAACCTGTTGCCCGCTCGCTCTGCCCACAGGTACGATCCTTGAGCGCACAAATGTGGTTTGCTCGACGTCAGCTCATGAGATCTCAGCCTTGCACCCTGACGGTCGTGTTTACGAGATGGAATCATGTCACACGATCGTAGACAAAGTAAACATAGATTAGAAACATTCCTTGAGGAGAGTGTGCCATTTGCCCTTAGCAATCAGATGCGTGAATGGTACAGACGTGTCAGAACACTGTGTCCCAAACAACAGCATCGTCGTATCCAGATGTTTGACCCAACAGGAGCTCCCATGTCACAGGACCAAGAACTTAATCGATTGGTCGAATACTTTCAAACTTTGTTCACAGATGTTCACTCACCACTTCCTCATCCACCGCCTCTGCAGACCATACCGTTCACCGAGGAAGATGTACAGCTGGAACTTGAAAGACTCCCAATCACCAAGGCTCTGGCCCCAGACGGATTTCCTGCCTTGATTTGGAAGCAATTCGCACCACAGCTCACTCCCATCATTTATGCATGCATTCGTCAAGTTTGGACCTCTGACCCATGCATCCCCCCCACCAGATGGTCGACAGGCTGGTTGCACCTGCTGCCCAAACCTAATAAGACTCCAAATAAACCTGAAGCACTTAGACCAATCTGTCTTCAGCACCCAGTTAATAAGATCATGTCCGGAATCCACTGCCGACTCATGCAATCTCACACGTATCCCGCACTCAAGACCATGCCTTTGTATGCGTACATGGCACACCGAGGAACCAAAGATTGTCTATTGACAATCTCACAGCACAGCCGTGTAGTGAGAGAAATGTGCCGAGTCCATGGCAAAGACCAAGCCAAACAGGGTCTGTGGGGAGGATTGCAGGTTTCGTTAGATATGGAAAAGGCCTTTGACACTATCAGCCGATCCATGGTCTCACGAGCACTCCATGTTTTCGACATGTCCGCAGACCTGCAGCACCTAGTGCATTCGTGGTTGGCCCCTCACAAGTATTGCATTTCACATAAGGAGTTGGTTGGCATTTTCCAAGCATCAGGCGGCATTAAACAGGGATGCAAAGATGCCCCCTTCTTCTGGACCATTAGCATGTATCTCATCCTTCATGATCTTTTAGCCCAGTATGATCAAGCCTGGATCACCAACCACATCCTAATATATGCAGATGATATCCACCTGAGATGGATCATCACCTCACCGAGAGAGGGCCTTGCTGCATTGCATGACTTGTCATTTTTGCTTAGGGTGTTTCGAGCCTATGGCCTCCGTATCAATCAACAAAAGAGCGTGGCTCTCACTCGCATGGTTGGTCGAGCGCTGAACCCGTTTCTCCGCCGATGGACCAGCAGACCTACAACAGGTCCTATACTGCACCTGCCAGATACAAGCCTGACGATCCCTCTCGTGAGCAAAACCTCATACCTCGGCACCATAGTGAGTTATAGAGCATGGGAAGCAGACACAGTTCGTCGCCGGATCACAGCAGCCCAAACGTGCTTTCGAATTCTCCGCAGGTGGTTTCTTGATAGGCATCATGACATCCAGATCCGAATTCGTTTGTACAACCAATGTGTTCTTCCCACAGTTCTGTATGGGGTTTTCGAGATGGGCGTCACCTATACAGGCAGTCAGGCGATCATTGGAATGATCAATAATCATCATAGATTGATTGCCCATGCCCCTGTTCATCTCACCCGAATCCCCACCACAGAGTTCTTCACCTCGCTTGGACTTAGGCCACCATGGATTACCCTGCAACAACATTACCACAGACTCATGAAAGCCTTGAACCACCGACGGGATATTCTCCGCAGTTCGGCCATGGATGATTCAGTGGAAGATGTTTGTGTCACGATCCCAGCATATCCAGAAGCACAAATCATCACACCTCTCATCGACTCCATGCTAACGCCACAGGAACCTGTCCTTCGATGCCCGGAATGTGCTCGAGCCTTCACCCAGGCCAGAACATACAAACGCCATCTTAGGGAACATCATCAGATTCCATATAACCCAGATGATCTCTTTCTTCCATTGCGGGATGCATTGGACGGACAAGCCACGTGCAGACATTGCTTGAAGCGGTTCACTGATTTTTACCGATTGAGGGATCACATCAATAAGAGAGTTTGTATGGCTTTTGACCCGACCAAGGACACCATTGTGCCGATCTGTGACCGACCAGATCTCCGCATGCATCTCAGATACAAGAGTATCCCGGGCTTGCTCCTCAACAAAGCCCTCATGAGCGAACTAGCCAATCATTGTGCCTACTGCCATTCGGCCATAGCTGCTCGATCGATTCGTAGACACTACAGGGATGCTCATC